CTGATAGGAAAATTGATTTATTTAACTCTAACAAGACCTGATATTTTGTTTCCTGTACAGGTCCTAAGTCAATTTATGCAGCTCCCAATAAAGTCCCATTGGTCAGCTACCATGGGAGTTCTGCGATACCTGAAGCAATCACCAGGTCTTGGGATTTGGCTAAGCTCAAAAGATGACCTAAGGCTTAGCTGCTTCTGTGATTCAGATTGGGGGTCATGTGAGACCACACGTAGGTCCGCGACTGGTTATCTTCTTAAGCTAGGAGATGCATTGATCATCTGGAAGACAAAGAAGCAAGCTACTGTTTCAAGGTCCTCAGCAAAAGCAGAATACAGAGCATTGGGTTCAGCCGTTTCTGAAGTTATCTGGGTGAAGGGTCTCTTGGGTGACTTAGGAATATCTGTACAGCAACCAGTGGAAGTGTACTATGATAGCAGATCTGCAATTCACATTGCTACAAACCCGGTTTTTTATGAGAGGACGAAGCACATTGAAATTGATTGTCACTTTGTGCGTGAGAAAGTGGCAGAAGGATTTATCAAATTGTAACATGTCTGATCAGTAGAACAAGAGGCAGATATATTAACGAAAGCTGTTGGTAAAGAGACTCAATTAAAATTACTTAGCAAGTTAGGAGCTTCTGATGTATTTCAGCCCCAAACTTGAAGGGGAGTATTGAATGTATTAGCTTTACTATATTGGGCCAGTGTTAGGTGGTCATGGCCCATTAGGTGAGGTCCATCAGATATGAGGGCCTATAAATGTAACTCAAGACTTTTTGTATGTATGGATTTTTCTTCTGAAATGAAATACATGTAGTATTCAGTTACAATGCGCAGGCTCTGTTTTTTTATCAAAACTCTATCGAGTTTCCATAAAGAATTGACAAGTAAAAATAGCTAAATTGACAAGTTATGTTAGAGTTTTAATAGATACACTTTATGTTGGATCAAGTAAAGAAGATTTAATATCCAAAGGGTATGGTTAGCAAGTTTTCATAGAGAATTGACAAGTACGCATGGATATATTGACCAATTTGATGGAATTTTAACAACCCACTTTATGTTGTTATAAGCAGGCTGTTTAGAAGCTAAGTTTATCACATATATAAATTTTTTGCACAGCCAAATGGTCATTGTTCTCATAAGCTGAATTGGTTGGCCTCAGATTCCATCGACAAGTCATCTTATAAATTTGTGAAAAAGGTTCCAACAAAATATATCAACTTTCATCTTGATTCTTTTATTTTTTTAGCTCACAAACACAATCCTCACTCATGCTTATACTCCTTACTTTTATTTTTTTTTTCCCATTCTAATTTGCCTCACTTTATGAGTTTTGAAATGGTTATTATTACTTCAGGTCCTAAATATAAAATTTAGTTTGTAGTGTATATCTCTTTCAGCCCATGTATTTGATGATGAAGATTTCAATGAAGAACAAAAATTTGATTTCATATCGTTCAATTGAACCAAAGCATACCTATTATTTGTGTCACAATTTTATATCGAATTTGAATGCCCTCAACTCAGGCTCTTTAAGTCTCAATTGAGAAATTAAATATTAATATAATAATATTGAGATAGAGTTAATGTTTTTTGGGGAAAAAATACTTAACAATTAAAAACCTCTGTATGTTTTTAGAAAAGTGTAATTAATTCATTAACACTAGTAAATTAAAGTACAGTTAATTTGTTAATTAATATTTTGAATTGAGGTTCAACGGAGGGAATCCGAAGATGTGTTCTTCGCTTCAGCCCCACTGTTCATGCAAAGAAAAATACAATCATAATGAGATTGATCCCGTATAATCCGCTTATAAATGCCAAGTCTCCAAACTCACTGGGGTCATAGAATATTAGTTATCCAATTGTGATGTAATAGTATTGAGTATTGACTATTCATAAGGGAGGACCCGAGGAATTATATTTATTTTAGAAAAAATATTTAATAATATAATTAAAGACCTCCATATTCTTGAAAAGAACAATACTTACATCAAGTTACTTATATTTATTATATTAAGTTCTTTAATTACGTATGGTCATATATCATTTTTTCACGTGGGTTTGTAGTTTGATGATGATATTTTAAAAATAAGACACATAGCTATGTATGATTGGAAAACTTGACATAATGAATATAAGAATAACTTAAGTATTGTTCTTTAAAAAATGTAATTTATTCCTTAATACTATATGACATCACAATTCAATAATTAATATTCTTAAATCGAGGGTCTATTAAAGGAACCTAAGTCCATCTTTTTCTTCAGCCCTACTATTCAGAAGCAGTACAAAGAAAAATACAGTCATAATGAATTAAATCCTTTTATATTAATCCACTTATAAAAGCTAAGTCTCCAAACTCAGTAGGGCCACATACGTATGTTTTCGATGGAAAAAAGAAAGCAACAGGTGAATATGCCAAGCCATCATTATTAGGTTTTGATAAGCTCGTTCATCTCACCTGCATTCCATCTTGGAGAACACAGAGGTTGATGGAGAGTTTTCTGTTGCCTCCACTCCAACAAATTGTAGGACAAAATAAATGACAAATCAAGATTGTTGAAATTTCAGTCCCAACAAACACGAACCATCCATTGAAAATCTTAATCGATGTATTGGTCATGAAAAATTTCTTTATTGAAAATTTGTAAATAAAAACTCAAAGAGCAATATGTAAGCAGAATTACTAAGTCAACCTTGTTAATATACTACTTTCGGTCCTTAATATAAGATCCATTTGACTAATTATTAGCTAGCATTTGCAAAATTGTTGTTGATCAAACGTTGTTGGGTGGCAGCTTTTTAACATAAATGATTTATAAAGTTTTAGATCTAAACTAGTTATAGATATTTTTCATCTTTTAGATTAAAAACTTAAAAATTATTTGATATATTTTAAATTCAAAGTTATACAGTTTTTGAAATAATTATTGTACATATTATAAACATTGTGAGGTTTCTTATATATTCTGATCATTAGGTGATCTCATCTCATTGTTTATTGAAAGATACTCCAGATTAGAGGGAATGTTAAGGGGATTAAACTGCTCCGAATGTAAAAGGAGTGTAATCAAAGTGACCAGGTGTTGGTCAAGCTTATATAGATGTACTGAGATTTTGCTGGAACTCGATTGAATAAAGCAAGAATAGTGAAAAATCTCAATTCATGACTTCAAAATAGCTTGATCATTTTGAAGTACTTAGAGATCAGTCTAGGATTAAATTTATTAGTAAATAAATTACGTAAATGCTCTTAATTTGAAATATTAAAAATGAAAAAAAAATGAAATGAAAATGACAATTGAACAAGTAATAAATTTAACTTATAAAATGATGACAACAACTAAGGCAAAGACAACATAATTTCACTAGATTTTCAGCTTTTGCACTGACAAGAAGTGAAAATAGTTGTCACTGGTGAAATTATGTTGTCAATCTGCCTTACATTTGTTTTTTATAATTTGATAAGTTAGAATCATTCTTGTTAAATTGTTACTGCCATTTTGTATTTCATTTTTGAAATTTTCAAATAAGATTATTTAGGTAATTTTTATATAAAGTTTAATCCCAAACCAATCCTTAAAGACTTCATAAGGCCATTTCAGGGTTCCAAATTTGGATTTACAGAATTTGGAGTTTTTTTTTTGTTTCTTTCTCCCTTAAGTTTATGTTATACATATAATTAATATAGTATATAGTCTGATTATAATCTAGTCAACTTAAAAAGTCAAAAAGAGATTATAAATCTTGCTAATGCATGTGGATCATGGATAATTAAAATATACATAAAGTTGCATAATTTTCTCAGTTATCTTGTGTCGTTTATGGTGGGTGACGGCCAAAACAAAGTGAGAGGCAAAATGAACACAAATTGGTGGATCGGAAAAAAAAAAGAAGGAAAAATATAGAAAAGAACAAATTAAAAGTGATGATATTGGAAACGAGTCAGGTAGTGGCACTTTGGGAGGCAAACTTTGGCTTTGATGCTACTCCTCACAATGAGGTACGAGAGTCCCACACCTATTTATTTTCACATCAATTTCATCCAATATCATGCTACTTTGGTTGTTCTAGGAGTTTCTCACATATCGAGAAAAATATTAAATAAATTAAATCTTCTACTATTGCCCTTATTAAGGAGAACATTAAATGCTAGTGTATATTTTTTCAAGTGAAAACCGCTAGTATATTGTCTCATATATTCCTGTTCTCTTCACCTTTACTATAATAATAAGAAAATAATTGAAAATGAAGCATTAAAAAAGATATAAATAAAAAATAAAAGGACCAAATCTCCTCATAAGTGACAAGTAATAGGGTGGTAGGACACAGAATATTGTGTTCATAAAGATTAATTAAGCTTTATAACAAAGTAAGTGCATGATATCCTCAGCAATAATTTGAAATCTAATCATTATATAAATATATTTTCATTCAAAAAAAAAAAAGAAGATAGTGGAATAATTGTATTTATTTTGTAAAAAAAACATTTAACCAACGTTGCAACCACTTGGTCAATTATATGGTGGGTGGGTTGTGGAGACTTGTCGGAGAGACAAGACATTAGTGCACCTTAGCAGTTAGCACTATATCCCCAGTTTCCCACTCACATTTGCCTTCCCTTATTGACCTTAATATTCAATTCACTTCCTATCATAATCATTTAATACACATGTTCAAATATAGTATATGAAATGATATATTGGCATTTAATCATGTAGGCGGCTTATTATTTACATTTTTATATTCTGCACATCGTGGGGGCGGTTTCCAAATTCAATTTAATGTCTTCTTGAAAGATAAACAAGGGAATAAAAAAGACTAGGAGAATCAAAAAGGTATATCATGATGATGCACTATCATATCCTTATTTGGTTTCGCTATAAAAGGCAAGGTGATGATTTGGTATAATCATAGTTACATTGTTGATTAATATTAAGCCTTCTTCTCTGGAAAGAAGCCTCAAGTAATAATCAACCTCTTCACACCAAAAATGGCTTCTTGGAATTCATTGCCCCTCCATGTCTCTTACGAAGTTGTGGGTTGGCTTGTTTTCACTTTGTGGTCTATCAGTTTCTACCCACAAGTCATCTTAAACTATCGTAGGAAAAGGTGTTGAGCGAAAAAAAATCAACTTTCATTTTCTTATTAACTTTTTGACTTTGATCATGCTTTTGCTCCTTTCCTTTTTACCACTCTAATTTGCCTCACCTTATGATTTTTGAATTATTTCAGTGTGGTGGGATTGAACTTTGATTTTGAGGTGTTGAATCTCACGAAGCACACCTGTTATTTGATATACAATGCATCTCTATACTTCAGTTCTACTGTTCAGAAGCAATACAAAGACAAATATGGTCATAATGAGGTTAGATATCCTTGTATAAGCCAATTTATAAGTACTAATTATCAAAGCTTAAAATTTTGATACTAACAGATCATTTTTTATTTTCCATCTACATTTCAGATGATACCTGTAGCAGCAAATGATGTTGCCTTCTCATCCCATGCTGTTCTGCTCACAATTTTTACCATATTCCAGATTGCAATCTATGATGTTAGTACCTTGCTTTCTTTTCCGTTGAGCTCTCTTGCAACATTTTATGTTTGTTATTTTTCTTTGCAATTAATTGTTGAAATTCCTTCTTCTTTTCTTTCATATTGTAGCGTGGAAATCAGAAGGTGTCAAAAATAGCTCGTGGAATTCTATTTGTTGCTTGGTCAGTTGCTGCAATATGCTTCTTCATAGCTTTGTCTAACCATCATTGGCTTTGGCTTCTCTCAATATTAAGGTATCTTTTATGCTTTTAACTACACTAATTTTCTTTTCCCACTCGGTACGGATATACATAAATTAATTAAATCAATGACATGATAAGAATAATGTGTATTTGTGACGGATTTCCTTCTAACGAATTATGTATAAATTAACTATTTTGCAGTGGCATTCAAGTTTGTATGACGGTTATAAAATATCTTCCCCAGGTTAGGATTTATTTCATTTTCTATTCAACTGTTGCTTTTGAAATTTGTGTTGAAAGGAATATAATTACAGAAGCTACTGGTGATCATGCTTTTCAAATTATCCAAATAAATAACCTGCTAAAGAACTTGTTTTCTTTATTATATGGCTGTCTCTGAAAATTGTTGTTCTTAATTAGCTTTTTCTAGCTAGCATATTATTACTAATGACATATTATTAATAAGTTGAGTTATATTAAGTGCAGGCTGTGATGAACTATAGGAGAAAGAGTACGGAAGGGTGGAGCATTGGTAACATATTGCTGGACTTTTCTGGAAGCATAGGAAACTATGGTCAAATGGTTATACAATCCATAGATCAAGGTTTGTATTGACAACCTGCAGTTATATATGAAGCATGAGCTTTTTGATCGAGTTGGTAATCTCATACTAATAAAATTTCTCAGGTTCGTGGGCAAACTTCTCTGGAGATATAGGAAAACTAATGATTTCTCTGGTAAGGATCATTCTCTTGCACTACTAACATGTATATGGAATGAAAATAAGTGCTAATGGTAATATAATTTGATGTTTTCAGGTTTCTGTGTTTTATAACATTCTATTCATGATCCAACATTATATACTATATCGACCAAAACAAGTCTCAAACTCTGAAACCCCACTTGAAGTTGAGATCAACAAGTCTTCTGATATACCAGCTGCGGCAAAGATTGTATAGGATTTGATGTAGTTCATGATCTATCTTTGAATATCCAAGTATCCCAGAAAAGATCAAGGATAAATATGGAAATAAATCAACTCAAAAATTTTTAATTTCAACAAAAGAACCTCGGTAGTATTTTTTTAATTTTTCATATTTATTATTATTAAGTATGATTGATATTCTTAGAGGGTTTTAGTTGTTGATAAAGTATGTGCTGTGCAATTTATATAGTCGATCCCACATAATAAAATAATGCATGTTGTTGCATTTTTAGTGGGTTTTAACTGTCACTTGTCCTTAGATAATACTATTGACGATCACTTGCTTAATGGCTTTAGGATATAAATTCGAAAGAATTTTTTTAAAAAATAAAGCAGTTAATTATATCAATGTAAACTATTACACAGGCACCTCATAACAATTAAGATACGATACACACATATATGATAATATATGATAAAATAATTACACAGTTTGTTACGCTATAATATTTTTTTAATTTATCACATAGATTTATTTTATTTAAATATGTCACAAATTTAATATGGTTTCATCAATCTATAAAATATTAGGGCTTGGTCAGTATTAAATTACGTTTTAAAAATGTTTTTAGTTAACATAGTTAAATAACCTAATTTACAAACTATTTGTTAAAGTTATATGTATGTATCAAGTTAAGAGATATCTATACCATACAAAGTATATATAAAGTTTGGAATATTCCTGCATCTTTTTGTATTTCTTTCTTTCAACAGAATTCTCCAATATCTAAAGAATCCAAACACCACACACACTATATGTATATGAATTATGATGCAAATTTATAAGGAAAAATGACCCAAAGAAAAAGACTGAAATTGTGATTTCTCAATTTAGGAAGTTATGGGTTGGAAATAACATAAAGAAAACTAAACCCAAATTAAAACTTTAAAATTCAAGAGAAATGACAAATTTCCCTTTTGTTTTTTAAAAAACACTTTAACCCCTAGCTAGAGGCTGGCTGTCGTGGTGATTGACGGTAGGGTTTTTTTTTTTTTTTAATAGAATTTTGGCCATGAAAATTATTAAGGAAAATGGTGGGGTTGGGATTTGATTCCACCACCCCATTGTTATTTGGGCTAATAAAAGTGAAAGTAACCATTGGGCCACCAATTATTTATTAACCTTATTATGCAAAAAAGAAAAATATACGTTAACTTCTTTACTCTAGCTCCAGTTTGTGACAACAATTACCTGGGAATGATAAGTCTTAATTAATTGAAAGTGACAAGTCTAAACTTGATATTAAGATTTTTTTTTCCTGATACATAATAGGAAATAACATGTGAATTAATTAAAAATGACAACAATTTATTTGGAAATGACAAGTCTAAAGTTGAGAATTAAAAATGACAACAATTTATTTCCCGTTATGTATCAAGCAAAAATGTCTTGTTAATCTCAAATTTAGATTTGTCATTCCAAGATAAATTATTATCATTTGTAATTAATGCATGTGTTATTTCACGTTATGTATTAGGAAAAAAATGCTTTGTTAATCTTAAGTTTAGACTTGTCATTTTCCAATCAAGACTCATCATTCCCAATAAATTGTTGTCATTTTTAATTAATTCATATGTTATTTCATGTTATGTATCAGTAGTAAAAAAAATGCCTTGTTAATTTCAAGTTTAGACTTGTCATTTTCCAATTAAGACTTATCATTTTTAAATAAATTATTGTGATTTTTAATTAATTCATATGTTATTTTTTGTTATATATCAGAAAAAACATATCTTGTTTCTCAAGTTTACACTTATCATTTCCCAATAAAAACTTGTCATTCTCAGATAAATTGTTATCATAAGTTAGAGCTAGAGTAAATGAGTTAATTTTTTTTTTTTACATTCACTACCAGAAAAAAGGCTTTTTACGGCGGTTAATAGAGGCTTTTCACGGTGGTTTTGAAGGTGAAGTTGATAAAGGCGACGTTGAAAGGTAAAGAAAACATGGCGGTTGAAAACCACCGTGGAAAATTAAATTTCCACAGCGGTTGCTTAATACACCGTCGTGGAAAGTTAGATTTCCACGACGATTACAAAAAAAAACCGCCGTGGAAAGTTAACTTTCCACGGCGGTTTATTTATTCTAAACCGCCATTGAAAGTTTAATTTCCACGGTGGTTTTTTATATAACCGCCGTGGAAAAGTTTTTTTAACGGTGGTTATCTATATAACCGTCGTTAAAAATATCTTTTTTTTTAATTCTGCTCGATTTTCATTTTTACTACTCTGCAGTTTACAGTTCCAAATAAATGTAGGCAATGCAGAATACGCAGAACAAGATCAATTAGCTAGTTAATATATATACAGCATTGAAATTTCTTTTACACAAAGCAAAAATAGAGAAACTGGCCAATAGAACTAAGGGGTTAAGACCAAAGAACACGTATAGGCTAGGACCAGCAATTGTAAAAAAGAAGTAACTACTTCTCTGTACAATAGAAATCATGAACATGTATAAGAGGGAACCAAGAGAAAACATCTAACAATGAATTTTTTGAGAAATGACCTAACTATTTGAAAGCTAAGTTTCAATATTTTGTACCAATGTTGTTGACAAAGTGTCCCTCATCAAGTTGATGTCATCCATGAGATATGGCGCAATATTTTGAAATACCTGTTAATGAAAAATATTAGTTGGTAGCTGATGAATGCAGAGCTTATTTGAAAGCCATGTTAGCACATACAGGATGATTGGGTGATGACTCAAGGTGAGTTGTATATGATATGGATTAATTTATTAAATAGGAAAAAATTAGGGACTGCGTTTTCAAACAAGTTTGAAGTTGAGTGACTGAGTCATACCGAGTCATACTTGAGGGACTGAGTCATAACTGAGTTAAAAGTTGAGGAACCAAAAGGTTAATTTTTCGTATAATGTATCTCTATACTTCAACTCTACGATGCATAAAGACAAATATTGTCATAATAGTGAGGTTATTAGACCATATAGTTTTAAAAAAAGAAAGGGAAGAGGAAGAGAAAGAGAAATAGAGCATACAATAAAAATTGGAAAACTTAAAAAAAATACAGAGAGAGAGAGAAAGCAATGTTGGGTTTTTTTAATCTGTAATTATCAACTTAGAATAAGGCCTTGAAGTGCACATTTGTTTTATATCTTAAGTATTTTATTTCCTCTTGATAATCTTAGTATCTTTTTAATTTTATTGCTTATGTATCATTTGGGAACTTCGCATGACAAGTGCACGGGTTTTGTACTGCAAGTGCATGGGTTTCGCACCACAAATACATAGGTTGTGACAAGTAGCAAAGTGATGAGAAAAGTATTGTTTCCAAAATGATTTAGTTTGAAAACTCAATCAAGTAATATCATATTGCATTGCTAATTATTTTAAGCCTTCTTCTTGGGAACAAACAAAGCCTCAAGTAACAAGCAAGCCCTTCACATGAAAAATGGCTTCTTGGAATTCAATAACCCTCCATGGTTCTTATGAACTTGTGGGTTGGCTTTGTGGTTTATCAATTTCTACCCACAAATCATCTTAAATTATCGCAGGAAAATATTTCAACAAAATACATATATACTTTTACGTTCTTTACCTTTTTTTATCATTCATGTTTTTACTGTGCTTTTCTTTTACCATTTTCATTTGGCTTACCTTATGGGTTTTGAATATTTTAGTGTGGTGGGATTGAGCTTTGATTTTGACGTGTTTAATCTAACTAAACACACTTGCTCTCTGATATACAATACATCTCTGTACTTCAGCTCTACTATTCAGAAGCAGTACAAAGACAAGTATGGTCATAATGAGGTCATTAAATCATATAGTATTTTAAAAAGAAGAGGAATAGGATGAGAAATAGAGAATCCAATAAAAGTTGGAAAACTTAAGAAACACGGAGAGAGAGAGAGAGAGAGAGAGAGAGAGAGAGAGAGAGAGAAGTAAATAAAGAAAATATTTGTTTGTTGGGTTTTCTTATTTGTAATTATTATCTTGGAATAACGTCTTGAAGTGCATATTTGCTTTATATCTTAGGTACTTTATTCTCTCTTGTTAATCTTAAGTATCCTTTTAATTTTATTGCTTATGTTTCATTTGCAAATTTTGCATCAAGTGCACTGGTTTCGCTCCACAAATGCATGGGTTGCAACAAGTAATAGGTGAAGAGAAAAGTATTTTCCTCATGAGGATTTGGTTTTTAACCTTAATCAAATAATAACATATTAAATTGTTAACTGTTTTTAAGCTTTCTTCTTTGGAACGAACCAAGTCTCAAGCAACAAGTAAGCCCTTCACATAAAAAATGGCTTCTTGGAATTTATTAACCCTCCATGGTTCTTATGAAGTTGTGGCTTGGCATGTTTTCGCTTTGTGGTCTATCAATTTCTACCCACAAGTCATCTTAAATTATCACAGGAAAAGGTTTTAACAGAATATATCTACTTTTATCTTCTCTACCTTTTGTTATCATTCATGTTTTTACTGTGCTTTCCTTTTACCATTTTAATTTAGTTTACCTTATGGGTTTTGAATTTTTTAGTGTGGTGGGATTGAACTTTGATTTTGATGTGTTGAATCTAACCAAGCATACTTGCTATATCCCATGCGTTTTTGTACTTCATCTTTGCTATTCAGAAGTAGTATAGAGACAAATATGGTCATAATGAGGTTATTAGATCATATTGTTTTTAAAAAAGTAGAGGAAGAGGAAGACAAATAGAGAATACAATAAAAGTTGAAAAACTTAAAAAAAAAAACACACACACACACACACAGAGAAAACAAAGTAAATAAAGGAAATATTACTTGTTGGGTTCTCTTATTTGTAATTATTAGCTTGGAATAAGGTTTTGAAGTGCACATTTGTTTTATATCTTGGGCATTTTATTCTCTCTTGATAATCTTTACGCATCCTTTTAATTTTGTTGCTTAAGTTATGTCTACAAGGGCACAAGTTTCGCACGACAAGTTTTGCGCTACAAGTATACGGGTTTTGCATCATAAATGCATAGGCTGTGACAAGTAATAAAGTGATGAGGAAAATATTGTTCTCATAGGCAGTTGGTTTCAAAATTAAACAGATAATATCATATTACGTTGATGATTATTGTTAATCCTTTTTTTGAGACGAACGAAGCCTCAATTGATAAGCAAGCCCTTCATATAAAAAATGGCTTCTTGGA